GTTTCAGAGAGGACAAGAGGCAGAACTGCAACTGTTGGCCCAACGCCGGCAGATAAATAATAAACCAACTGTGAGCTGAGCACTGCTTGTCAGCAAGAACAGAGAACAAGAAGAGATGCAGAGGCAGAGGAGGGCAGCAGCTTAAACCTCTGCACTTGCGGTTTGGCACAGATTGATCAAGCTTGACCTTTTGATTAAACAGATGTCGCCACGAATGCTTTAACTTTTGAGCAACACGATGTATATGTGGAGGGATCGGCCAGTAAGCTGAGGAGCATGTGCAAGAGGCCACTGACCACCGTGATGTTACACCAGCACAGAAACCCTCTACTGTATGTGCACAGACCATGTCCCTTAGTTTTTACTTCCTTTCAGTCACTGTGCTGTATTTTGATTTACTTGCTCTGTTGTGCTGTTTTTAGAATTCAACCTTTATTATGTCACACTGAAGCTATGAAAGGCCACATTGCATTCTGGGTTAGATGTGCCTCTTCGTTGTCTGTCACAGAGCTGTGAAGTGAGACTTACCATTTAATTCAGCCCTGGTCTGAAAGTAAGACCCATACATTCATTCTCTGATAGTGTTGCATATAGTAAAAACATGTTTACAACCAAGTCCCTACTTACCCATGTTTTTGAAAGCTGATGTATATATTTATTAATGTCTGTCCAACCCTGCGTCACTGTGTGAAATGTCTCCTATAAATAAATTTGACTCAGCTTGACCCTCCTGCTATTTTTATCGAAAATCATAGTGAAAATATGTGTGTGAGAGAGCGAGAGCAGGGTATTGGGATGGAGTCAACAGTGACACAGGGCTCTTGTTTAACTCATCCTGCACGTTCACTTGTAACGCTCCTTTACTTTAATCTTTTCTGTGTATTATATGATTGATAGACAACTTTGTTAATGCAGAAGCTGCTTCACAGATTCACAGGAACAAGGTGTGCAAGGTTGTGAACAGTTAAAGGCTAAAGCAAAATATAATATAAAGGGAAAATGATATATTTTAAAAATACATAGAAAAGAATAAATACAGTAAAAGTAGAAAAGAGCCTAAATAGAATAGAGACTGATGTACATTGTAAATAATTAATATAGTGGTGAAGCCGTGGCAGTATAACGCAGTCACGGTGCAGTGGTCTCCTACAGACTCTCGATCCCCACTGTTGCCCCTTATGTCTCAAACAGCCCTCGAACTTCGAGACAGCAGGAGAAACATCCCGCCTCGCTGTCATAACCAGGATGGAGGCAGTTACCTATAGAACTGGGCTGTTCAGGATAGTTTAGATTTCCTGCCCTCATGACTGCAGTAACAGGCAACGTTAGCGTCTCTGAGCATGTACAAAGTGTTTCCTGTCGAGAGAGCTCGCCAGCTGCTGGATTTGATGATCAGACTCCACAACAGATCACTATACAAGTGGTTTGCCCCGTTCCCTCTTAACAGGGCACCACAGGGTGAAGCAACAGCCTAGGGGTGAGACCGGGAGGCGGCCACGGGGAGCTCGGATGGTGTTGGGGTGGCTGTCCGTCCAGCTCCTCCCATCTTACCCTTCCAGATGCTCGATGATGACAGAGGCCCCCGCCACCGGCCGCAGCAGGACACTTGGCACTGACGTGAGCTGTCAGTTTCCTCTGAGGCCGGAGCGTGCCAGGCGACAGCTGCAGGGCTCAGGGTCTATATGCATAACAACCCCCCCAGCCACAACCAAAAAACATCCCATCAGCCCCCAAACCCCTCCATAACTCTCCATAACCCTCCATCCACGGCAGGCCACGCGGGGCACCATCCTCCTCAATACGACCATTGTTGTGCTCTGGGGCGATTAAGCCCCCATATCAGAGGGATGAAACCCCCTCCTCACACACACACAGCAGTGGTTATGAGGGGGGTGGCATGTTAACATGAGGCCTGAAGCCGTGGCAGTATAACGCAGTCACGGTGCAGTGGTCTCCTATAGTTCAGCAGCTGTTTGCTATGTAGAAAGAGGGAAATCCATCTCTCAAAATACTGCAGAGAAAAAGAAAACCCGTTCACATACAGAGATAGTCCTAATGGTTCTGCAGGCATTAGTCCTGTTGCACATGTCTGTTACTCATCACTTCTTAAAGTCAGGACCTGTTGTAGCTTCATGCAGACACTTGTTTAACTCCTGTTACCTGACTTTTCTGAGCTTTATTTAAGAAAAAAGCAGAAGTGAATCTGTCTGAACACAAACTGAATCAAGCAGAGTCAGTGAGCTAGACTGCGTGCGCGTCTCTGAGGTGGGTTCCAGGTCCCTCTGGTGTCGTGGAGGATCTGGTAACGGTGTGGTCTCAGCATCGGAGCTGAGAGTAAATCACACAGTTAGCGGATCCATGAGGAGCCACAGGACATGGTGGTTTGAGCAGTCTGGTGACACAGACACATGACATGGGACTTTGAGTAGGGTCATCGTAGTGTGAGCTGGCTGTGTTTTAGTTCAGTGATTAAGTTTTAGAACTGGACAATGGAGACTCTTTTTGTTTGGTCCCCACTGCTTATTGATGGAGGGTTAAGACTTGATCTTTAGATTAAAGTTAAAATTAGGTTTATATACAGTGGGAGAAGCAAACACAGGAGTATAAGCATCTAAATGCAGATTCTGGTCGTATGTTACATCTTTGGTCACTAGATGGAGCCGTTGACCTTGTTTCTGTAACCAGGCACCAGAGTGTGTGGTTGTGTCACCTCCTAAAGTATTGGAATGGCAAGGCCAGTTCATGTGTTTGCTGTACACTGAGGGTGTTTGAGCTTTTTTTTTCTGGTAGTTGCTTCTTGATATACAGTATTAAACACCAGAGAACAGAGCAGATCACCTACATTTTAAGTGAACAAAAGTAGAACAGACAGTGTTAAAGTAAATAAAACTGCATGTTACTTGTTTTCAATGCATGCATCAAGTCTGCGACTCGCTACCATCACCTGGGTGTTGGTTTCTTCCGTTGATATGCTTTTACAGACTTGCTAGAGCCCCTGTCAGCTGTTTCTTTCAGGGTTTGGTCCAATCGGGGGTTAAAATAGTTATTCATGATGGCTGCAGCAGAATATATATGCAGGGACATGCAACCAAATATTGTGCTTTGTTGACTGCAAAACTATCTGGTCCAGTATTTTTGCTTGTTTAGAATTTGGGTGATCTGAAACAGAGGGTTCTCTAATGTTTAATACAGATGGAACTAACATGAAACAAACCCTGAAATTCTGACCTTTTGTCTCATTTATCTTTTGATCTGAAACACGAATGACTTCAGTGTACCGTAAACACAAATGTCATTCCAGATTCTTACATTTGATTTGACTTGGCAGCTTTTATCTGTGTGTTTGGCTCGAACTAGTTGTTGTGCTCTGTAGATAATTGGTGTCATTGATTGTTGTGAGGGCCACACAGACAGGAAGCACCTCCTCTTTGATACATTGATTGCTGTGGTTATTTTTGCGAGTCTGATCAATAATTAATGAACCGTGAAACCACCAAACTGCTGCCGGCTGAGCTGGACTCAGAGTTCACACCTGAACACCCGATGCCCTCAGTCTTGGTCATTCCCACATGATTGGAAGTGAAGTACAAGCAGCAGATGTGGAGCTCTGACAGGTACAGTGATCAAATGAAGGTGGGGCTTTACTTCAATAATGATTCTACAGGTGCCTGTAACTTTCCAAGTCAAGACTCTGACGTGAACAGTACCTGTTTTGAGTTTCACCAGGCCCTCTAGCCTGAAAAGCCTTCAGGTAGGGCAGCTGTAAGGCTTGGTTAGCTGTTAGACAGAGAGCCCGGCCCTGCTGAAAAGAGACCGCTGTTTTCCTTCTGACAGACAAAATGTTTCAGACATTACAAATGTCTTGTTTTTCTGCAGTCTCACAGGTCAGATGTGTGAGGAGGGGGTGACGCTGAGATGAGGAGCTGTAATTAGGTTTTTATCAGACTGGATTTTAGGTCCCCATCGATCTCATCTAGGATCTGGACCAGCATGTGGGACTGTGTGTGTATTTGTTTGTTTTAGCTTCACAACATGAAGTTGTGGTTTTGGGGTTGTAGTCTGTTTCCTCCAAAACCAACACACGTCATGTATCAGATATCTGAACCAGATGCTGACCTCGGAACTGCTGGGCCTCTGAATCACACATGGAACCAGTCAGGGTCAACGAAGAGTGATTAATATGACCGCGTGAGTGTGTGTGTGTGTGTGTGTGTGTGTGAGAAGTTATTACTGTGTGAGTATTCAGCATCTTTTCTGAGTGCTGTACAGTTGTTAGGGTCGTATCAGTGTTGGCTGCTCTCTGTCAGCAGCCAACACTGAGTGTCGGGACTGTTTCTCTTCCGGCTGCTCTGATTGGTCACAGGAGAATCCATCCCCAGAAATCGCTCTAATCTCTTTTGATAAAACAGAGCTCTCGTCCAGTCCCCTGCTGCTGTCGCTCTCCTCCCTCTCCATCTGCCTCACTCCCTCTCTCTCTCCATCTGTGGGGAAGAGGAGGGTTTAATCTGAGTGGATTACGTCTCAGATTGGGGGACGGTGGAGGACAGTGGCTGCACAGTCTGCTGCAGCCTGCCAGCTTTGTGTCTTCATAGTTTCTGCAAGGTGGAACAGTCAGCCCACTTACTAGTCCTGGTTCATTAGGAGCAACCTGGAAGAACCTAGAGCAGCTGTAGAGGGCACTTATGGAGTCTCTGTAATACATTTTTACCTTCCAGAGTTTGTTCTTCCTCTTGCACATCAGCTGGGGATGGGTGATTTTAAAGTCAGTGATTTTGGAGAAGTTCCCCTTAGGAGGATGAGAAGCTAAAGCAGGAAGTGATGAGAAGAAACCCACCACTGTGACCGGCATCATCTTCACGCTGTAGGCAGCATGAAGAAACCGTTTCCTACACACTCTTCATGATCTGCTTGAACTTTCAGAGCTGGTCTCAGTTTGTGTAACTGCATTCAAAACCTTAAGAGTACGAGCTGCAAAGAGCTTGATGTTGGGAGGTGGAAGCATGATGGAGGACAGGACGCCAGGATTCATGAAGCTCCTGTGGATTCTAGGACTTTTCTGCCTGTGGATTCCAGCGCACGCTCAGATGAAGATTCCCCCAGAGACGTAAGTGTCTTGTGTTACTCCTTCCCCTGGATCTCGGCTCCCTCTAACGTGTCTGTTGTGTGAAAAGAATTATCACATGGATGGATGGTCAGTTATTTCAGAAACTGAGCTGGTAACTGGTTCAACCCCTTTACAGGCAGGGTTCTCTCCATTTTTGTTAAATTTCAAGTATTTTCAGACTTGGAAGGCATTTTGTCCAGCTCAATCTTTCTGTCAGATGGAAATGTTGGCAACCATTGCTCATCACTCTTCACACATTTTTCCAAAGGGCATTTTTAGTATCTTTGGAAACTTCTACCAGAAGTCAATGTTCTGTGAGTTTGAACATTGTTTGGCTGCACAGCATGAGTCTGTACTGACTGACCAGCGACGGTTTAAGAAGGTTTAAAAGGTTAAAAACAATACATCCTGGAAGTGGAGGTCACATGGTTATGTTTTTGTCACATATTCTATTTTTGTGTTATTGGTCAGGGTACTGTTAGGTGGGGTGTTTTCTCAGTTTGACCATGCTCGCCGAGGTAAACCATATGTAGCCAGTGTAAACAAGAGTAGTCAAAGTAGATGTGAGCTATCAAATGGTAAATGGGCTCATTTAGCGCTTTTCTCCACACTGAAGCACATTCAGAGAGCTGTTACACTATAACAAAGAGAGAAAAAGGTTATTTTCCAAAAGATGCAGTTTAACATCACAGCATTAGACCAGACAAGCCACAGGCTGCAGCCATGTTCTCTCTGCTTTGGTTTGTTGTCCACCGTTGTGTTTACATGTTGCCCATCACTGCGGATAATAATAAGAATGTAGTATTTTTGTGTAGATATTGATGTCTTAGGTATGTTGCTGTTGGTTGTTGGTGTTTCAGGGTGCAGCAGTGGGCGTTGGTGTTCTCTGTTCAGCTTCGAGACCTCACAACCAAATACTCGGGCTCTCAGCTGCTACAGAAGGTAAGGCGAAACCGGGGAACCAGATTTTCTGACAAGTGTAGGTTCAAAGGATAAATGACACTGTTAGCTGACATCAAACACAGACATCAGCAAGGAACTCTACTGCAGTATTGGTATCTGAGTACTGCGTGCATAATCCGCATTTCTACCAAAGAAATTTTCTCGGAGGAGAAGGGAACTTATTCTCCACGGAAGGAATCAGGCTTTATGTTAGGTTGGCCGAACAACCCCCCTAGTTGAGTGGTAGTATTTTCTGAGGCTGGCAGTCCTTAATCTCATCGATTGGTCAAATACTGCGTAGCATTTTACACTCAGACTTCCGAAAGCCTTTCTGCCAACTGTCCTGCTATTGATACATCAGCGGACTAATTAGTGTAATCTTCCCGTGGACGTTCACGGGAGAGCAGTAGTGAGTGTGTGTGATAGCTTCTCTCTGTTTGTATGCTGATCAGGCAACGCACACACTCACATGGGGATCATGGTAATGCCCAGATTGAGGCCTGAGCCCTCTTTACCGGCGTCAGGATTTGTGGCCTGTTCTCATTTTAGACATTCATCCATTTATCCTTCAGATTTGGGTTTGTCTGCTTTCAAACACAAAACCTTCCTCCACAGCTGGAACAAACAACCCAACAACACTTTTTTTAAATATGCCAGTTCACCCAGAAATGACTTTTGGTTTCATGTAGTTGTTGAGCATTTTGGCTTTTTCATTTATTTGCTGGTTTGCCAACAAGAGATGATTAACCTCAGCTCGCAAATGACTGGAAAAATGCAAAGATCCCAACACAGCTAAATACTGAGCAAGTCTTCAAAAGGCAGATAAGACTATCTTCGACCCCACTCGTCCTTTCTGAATATTTTAAGTTGTTGCCATCAGGAGTGTGTTTTAGAGAGTTTGGTTTCATTCCAGAAGCCAGAGGACTCAGAAGAAGAAGTGTGCACCTCACCTTGTTTATAGACTGATAAATGCAGCAGTAATTTTGACTTCTACACTTTCAGGAACATAATACGTCCCTTTTGTGGTGTTGGACTGGCCACTGTTATAGATCCCTGTGTGTTTATAGTCTTTTTAGTGTTTGAATTGTTTGTCAGACACAACACAAATGCAGAAACAGCTAAAAGATCTGAGTACATTTAAATGGATCAAAACCCGATTCTTTGTTCACTGTACAGTGCGTTTCTCTACAGTAGTCTGCTGCTCTGTGGTGCAAGCACTGTGTGAATATGGAGATTTATGTGGGGAAATCAGAAATGTGAATCCTACAAACAGCCCCCAAGGAGTTCTGGTATGTTTGAAGCTCGCAGGTTCAGGCCCGTTTTTGTTTCCTCCCAGAAACTGAAAGATGTGGAGTCCATCATTAAGATTGTGGAGCTGGACGGAGACCGCTTGGTGAAGGAGTATTCTGATGAAATGGAGCGAATGCTGGGCAGCAAGATGAAATCAGTGAAGGTGAGGACGATGAAGCTGACTTCATCCTGAATGTGAGGAAGGAGCTCTACATGTTCTGAACAGCCGCAGCAGGAAGCAGCTGCTTTCAGGGGAGAAACTCTAAAAAGCAACTTTACACAAAGTACTTTTTCTCTAATCCATTTATTTTTGTGAACTATGGCATAGTTGTACCCCATTGGATAAATCAGGTTTCACTGTTCACAGTTTACAGTATATGGTGCTAGTTTCACAGCGTCACAATCCAGGAATGTTGTGGACTATTCCTGATACGTGCTCTGTAACGCTCCTCCGTTTGTCTGCTCTGTTGGTCCTACTTTGTTGTCTTTCTTTCCCATTTTCTGTCTCAGAGGTTAGCAGAGTCAGCAGAAGACGCCGACCTGTACCACGAATTCAACGCTTCATTGAAGGTTAGTCTCTTGTCCTGTTAACCAGCTGATCATTAAAGGATCATCCCAGTGGCTGTCGTGTGTATGTTACAGTCCAGGCAGCCTGTGTACGTGTATTGATTTTAAATACAAGTTAAATAATCCATCATCAGTTTAAGCTGTCATGTGTCTGCATCAGTTACCTGTATCAGAGGCACTGTAACAGTAGGCAGTGGCCACTGCAGCAGCCTGATGCTGTAAAGCCTCGTCAGACACCTAAAATTAGATTAGATCCTGTGAAGAAACTGGGTCAACACCACAGCGCAGAAACTGCACAGACAAAGAGTGCACTGTGGCACAAAGGTCGTATGAGCAGCTGGAAGATGTGAAGTGTAGAGAGCCACACAGTCAGTGAGACAGTGATCAGCTGCAGCCAGACACGTTCGTTATTGTTCATGTTCTTCCACTGAGAGAAATTCCACCTTGCTGTAATGTCTTCAGGTGGTTTAGACTGGTTTGTGTTGACGCTGGTTAAACGAGGGGAGAAGATGCACAATCATTAAAAAAAAAACTATAAACTGCTGACTAAACTGAAGTTTTCCCTCTGATTCTGAGTCTTATTTTGAAAGGAGCCTTTTCATGTGTTCTCAGTTTGATTATTACAACTCCATGTTGATCAACACGGTGGACGAGGACGGGAACTATGTGGAGCTGGGTGGAGAGTTTCCCCTGGAGGAGAACGAACATTTCAACAACCTGCCAGTGAACACGCAGCAGAGCGACATCCAGGTCCCCACCAACGTCTACAACAAAGGTCAGCCTGTACACATGAAACCTATCTTTTTTTTTTAACTCTGTCTTTGTCTTCATGTTATTAAATTAGCACCTTGCTCCATGGATGTACAGACAAGTCTCTAGATTATGTTGATACTGAGGAAGATATAAAATTATTCTTAGGCAAGTTCTGGAGCTAACGGTACCTGTAACCAAGTACATGTGTTAATATCTCTGTTTTCTCTCCTGTATGTGCAGATCCTTACATCCTCAATGCCATCTACAACTCTGAGGCATTAAATGACATCTTCCTCAGTAACTTTCAGAAAGACCCCACGCTCACCTGGCAGTACTTTGGCAGCTCAACTGGCTTTTTCAGGATCTACCCCGGTGAGTTCAGTGGATCAGTGCTGTAACACAAACAGGGCCATGCTGGGTACTGTGTCCAGTATCCTGCCAGCATGTCTGTATTCACATTAACAGGTATAGAGGCACCATTGCTACATTTACAGAAGTAAACAAGTACATCTTCTATCACTACAAGAAAATGCAGTTACTGTGGTTTTGATGTGGTTCCAAGATGATGTGATGTTAGGAGAGTTTTATCAAGTCAGTCAGTTGGGTTATGCTGCTGAATGTTTTCCATACTGAAGGTCACTGTAGGTGGAGATGTGTGACTGGGCTGTGAACTGACGCCATGTGTTCTGTCAGGTATTAGATGGACCCCAGACTCCAATGGCGTGGCAGCTTTTGACTGCAGGAACAGAAACTGGTGAGTTTGGTCCATAAACAAACTTTCTGATCTGCCACCACAACGGTAACCATTCACTTAGGTTTAGGCACAGAAACCTCTTGAATAACGTTACAGAGGGATTGGGCGGCTGAGCGGTGGCCAGCCAGCGTTACACAACTCTAGACCTGCTTGAATCACTAAATCAAATCAGAGAAGTGGGCAGTGATCCTTAGATCTAGGACCAGACTGGTATCCTATTGCAGTTAGTTGCAATCAAAGCACAGTATTAAGACAAATGTATTCACTCAGTTCTTAAAGTGCACTGACGTGTAAATGAATATTGTGCTCTAATATGATTCAAGAAGTGTCCATTTGTGGCCCTGTGTGCAGGTACATCCAGGCAGCCACGTCTCCCAAGGACATCATCATCATGGTGGACATCAGTGGCAGCATGAAGGGGCTGAAGATGACCATCGCCAGGCACACCATCAACACCATCCTGGACACGCTGGGAGAGAATGACTTTGTCAACATCATCGCTGTGAGAGACACGAACACACACTCCGGCCTGTAGATCACACAGTGAAGGCCCTGTTACTGAACCTGCCGCTCCCTGTGTGTGTCTGCAGTACACTGACTACGTACGTTACGTGGAGCCGTGCTTCAGAGGCACTCTGGTCCAGGCCGACTTGGACAACAGAGAGGTAAGACCATTATGTGCTTCACACATAAAGAGCTGAGGAGGCGTCTTATCAACCGAAACACAAACACACAGAGGAAGGCCCTCAGCAGCAGCATCAGAGCGACCTCTTGGACCAGAAACCGCCACGTTAGCCTGGAGCTCTTTGTGTCTGTGTGTGCACAAATCACACTGTGTGAGCAACACTCTGTTCATGCTGTCATATCCTCCAATATGAGGACAAAACCTGGGTCTGTGAGTGGCCAGAACATTATTGTTGGTACGATCAGTGTGGAAATTCTGTTCAGCTGAGCGCAGAATTTGATTTGATTTGATTTGATTTATTCTTTCAAGCATGTAAAGACAGTTGATATGTCAACACATAATTTTACACATATCCAACAAATGCTAATCCAATTTGCTCAATTTGCTTATACCTAGTACATGCTTGAATGGAGTAGGAAGAAGTCAGACTTATCCAGTCCTACCCCATGACATCATCTTACCATCATTGTTTTGCAAGCAGTATCTCTACATAGATAATTCTCTTCTACACCACACAAGTAATATACTAAAGAATTATAACA